ACTGGGGTTAGTTCCAGGCTTCAGGATGACCATCTGAAACCAAGGCGGTAATTCTCTCGTTTGTTTATGCCTTGGTGGCAGCCATCCCCTGGCCCCGAGGCCCAGGGCAGCCACTCTGCGTGCCAGGGAGGCATCGTCTACCCATCACGCCTGGCTCTCCCGCAGACAGCGTTCTGACCCCGTTCAAGGGGCCAGGTGGGCCAGGAAGAGCTCGTGCGGTCTCTCTCTTCTTCGCTCCATTCCTTCCCCCACATCCAGCGGTTAGATTTTCGGTGGCTTGGCAATGTTAGGCTACGGTCCATTTCTCTGGTGACAAGAATAGCTCTGTGGTCCGTTGGGAACTAACCTCTGCCCCCCAGCCCCTGCCCTTCCTGCGACCTGCTCCCATGAGTGGAATGCTGAGGGCCAGTGGGGGTGCTTTTTGTTATAGAAATAGGATCCTGGAGTTGGGAGTGTATTTTTTCTTTGCTTTCCCATGGAAGTTTGGTCAGCAGTCTTGTGGGAAATGGCCCTAAATAATGTTACTAATAATGATAGCTGTGGATCTTCACTGAGGCTCTCTGGGGCTAGGTGATTAACATCGATTTTAATCTTTTCCATCACCTGGTAAGATAGATACTAGTATTATGTCTGTTTTACAGGGCAGGCAGTTAACTGGCAAGCCATACATTTAGCAACTTTGTGACTTAGCGACTCGGATGCCCTGGATCCCCCGGATATAAGGAGAAGCTCAGGACAACTTAGATCATTGATATTTATTGAGGCCTATGTGCCAGGAACCTGGCACTGCACATGGATGATCTCATTTAATGTTGACTTGAACCCTATCGCTCGGATGCTGCTGTGATTATCACCACTTTATTGAGGAAATTTTGAGGCTCTGAGAAGTTGAGCATCTTTCTCAGTGTCATGGTGGAGCCATGGGGCTAGAATTCCCACCCAAGCAGCCTAGCTCCAGAGCCTCCCAGTTTCACCAAAACTCAATGTTCCCATAATATCGGAGGCCGTGGCCGGGGCCAGAGCTGCGGAAAACATGGGACTCTGAGACATGGACTGAGAGTTCTCTGCACCCTCCAATGAAGGGTTTTCCTGGGTAGTTGATGGACAGAAGCCTCAGCCAGACGAGCCAAAGCCTGTGTCCCGCGGGGTGTGTCAGATGCGGCCTGGGGCACATCCTATCATTAATGTTTTCTTGTCACCCCCACCCGCTGGGACCTCGGAGCTTTTCTAACTGATGTTCTTTTTTTCTCCCCTCGCTGGTTCTCTGTGCAGCTCGAGGCTTTCTATTCTATCTTCACCACGGAGCAGCAAGACCACGTGAAGTCAGTGGAGTACCTGAGAAATAACTTCCGGCCCCAGCAGGGTCTGAACGGCAGGGTGGTGTCCAAGTCCGCCGTCAGTGACGCCTGGAACCATGACATGACAGACTTCCTCGATAACCCACTGGGGACGGAAGCCTCTAAAGGTACCTTCGGATCAGTGCCCTTGCCCCGGGGAGATTCCTGATCATAAATTACTTCAAATGAAAAGGAGTTCAAAACCAGCCAAGAAATGGGACTTGGTGTTAAGCGTATGCCCTTCTGCTGAAGGGACGCGGGTGGTTGCTAAGGAGAAACAGGTGTGGGAATAACTAGTTAACTAGGTAAGCTCAAAACTGCCCTGTTGATGAGGAATATATGAGTCATTCTCTCGGATTCTGTACCTTGCGACATCAGCACTAGTTAGTTCATGTCTAAAGAAAGCTTCGGGGTGTCTTACTGCTTAACTGTTTTCCTGTTGGGGTTAGGAGTTTGTCTCAGGGCCTGGACTTGCTCCCAGGACCCCTGTCTGCAGCGTCCTTAACAACATGCAGCCCAGACAAGGACTCCAGGCAGCTCTGCCCCTCTAGGCACCACCTGGCCTTTGAAATTACCACATAACAGTTTAATGTCCGTGTCTGATAAACCTAAGTTCATAACTTCCAGGCATCGAATCTTTTCCATTTCTACTTTCTTAATATGAAATGAGTATGAGTTTCTCTCCCAGGAAACTAGAAAGTCGACTCTACCCTGGCAGCCCGCCCTCCCAGCTCTGTGATTTGTCATAATTGTGGCTCGGAGCTTGGGGAACGCTTAGCAGAATAAGGCTGCTCGAAGCCCGGGTGCCTGGAAGGGAGGGGGGACTAACAGGCGTTTTTATGATCTCTCTCAAGCCATGCTCTCCTTCTTCAAAACTGTGAACTTGGGAGATGCAGGGTAAGCTTGTATCGTCTATCAGCACTGGCGTTCAGTGGGGGGAGTTACATGCAGAAGTTTGGCAAGAGTGCCGCCACCCCCAATGAATGGGGCCTGGCTACTGGCACATGGCCTTTGTGGGGACAGGGGGACTGAGATTCTGTCCACAAATAACCGCATTGGCCTGCCCTCTGATGGTCAGAATAAGCCCATTTTCCAGGCTCGTAGCTGAACAGGAGCTAACAGAAGGAGCGAGGATGTTCACGAGTGTGACCCTCTCCCTCCTGTCTGGGTTTGTTTGGGGATGGGGAGGAGGAGCTAGTCTGGCCAGGTTCCGTCAAGAACCGCTGGAGATTCCAGTAATACGGGGCGGACACCTTGTCAAGGGCATCATTTGTCAGCCTGGAACAATGGAGGGCTAAGAAGCACACAGACCTTAAAATACCTTCGGTTGGGCCGCCATAGAAAACCTCATGCGGGCTCATTTTTTTTTGTTGTTTTGTTTTTCACCGAGCTAAAAATAAAAGAAAACCACTGAACTCCAGCGCTTTCTCCTGCAGGAACTGGC